TCATTTGGAATAAATCGATGAATGTGAACTTCATTTCATTTTGTCATTTGTTTCTTCGTCAGTTTCATTAGGTGACTTTAATAACACTTAAAAATAAAATATCCCCTACTTTTTTTGAATAGTATATAATCAAGTGTATCTGTACTTGCCTCACTATAGCCAGGCTGTAATTACAAATAAAAACAAATAATGTTTGTAGCTATGCCTATGTCTTTAAAAGTTCATGTTTTAAAATCCACTGCGTATCAACATGAATAATCTTATACAACAGGTTGTGCTTGCTTTTCAACTAACTTTACAAGTACTTTATAATTATATTTTCAAAAGAAATGATGGATCTAATTTTTTTTTTCAGGTGTTTAAGGTTAAAAATAAAGAAGATGGTAGTTTATATGCTGTAAAGAGAACTCAAGTTAGATTTAGAGGTGAATCGGACAGGTAAGAAAGAAAAATAAAGGCATAGAAATTAAATCTTGAGTAATAACAAACAAATTAATGTTGTTTTTATACGCCCACATTTTCATGTGGACGTATATTGTCGTCGCCCCTGTCCTTCCGGACGTCCGTCCACAATTTGTTTGTGGACTCTATACAGGTCACAATTCTTGTCCGATTTTGACGAAACTTGAAATATAGGTTTATCACCAAAAGATCTCGGCTGCTTTCGATATTGGCATGTATCGGATCGAAACTTCATGGATTATGGCCCCTGTTTGTACGAAAAATCACGTTTTTAGCTTGTGGACCCTATAGAGGTCACAATTTTTATCCGATTTTGTTGAAACTTGAAATGTAAGTTTATAACCCAAAGATCTCGGTTCCTTTTGATATTCGCGCATACGGACCATAACTTCCTGAATTATGGCCCCTGATTGTACAAAAATCGCGTTTTTAGCTTGTGGACCCTATAGAAGTCATAATTTTTATCTGATTTAAAAAAACGTATTATTATATCACCGTTACACCCTAAGGACGGCTAAGTTCGAATTTCGTGAAAATCGGCCCAAAATTGACAGACAAAATGGCCGCCGTTCGTTCTCAAATAGCGTAAAAATATGGTATATCAAGGTTGTGGACCCTATAGAGGTCACAATTTTTATCCGATTTTTTTGAAACTAGAAATGTAAGTTTATAACCCAAAGATCTCAGTTCCTTTCGATATTCGTGCATATCGGACCATAACTTCCTGAATTATGCCCCCTGATTGTACAAAAAATCGTGTTTTTAGCTTGTGGACCCTATAGAGGTCATAATTTTTATCCGATTTAAAAAAACGTATTATTATGTCACTGTTACAACCCTAAGGATGACTGAGTTCGAATTTGGTTTATCACCAAAAGATCTCGGCTGCTTTCGATATTGGCATGTATCGGATCGAAACTTCATGGATTATGGCCCCTGTTTGTATGAAAAATCACGTTTTTAGCTTGTGGACCCTATAGAGGTCACAATTTTTATCCAATTTTGTTGAAACTTGATATGTAAGTTTATAACCCAAAGATCTTGGTTCATTTTGATATTCGCGCATATCGGACCGTAACTTCCAGAATTATGGCCCCTGATTGTACGAAAAATCGTGTTTTAGCTTGTGGAACCTAAAGAGGTCATAATTTTTATCTGATTTTGTTGAAACTTGAAACATTAGTTTATAACCCAAAGATCTTGGTTCCTTTTGATATTCGCGCATATTGGACCGTAACTTCCCGAATTATGGCCCCTGATTCTACGAAAAATCGCGTTTTTAGCTTGTGGACCCTATAGAGGTCATAATTTTTATCCGATTTAAAACAACGTATTATATCACCGTTACACCCTACGGAGAACTGAGTTCGAATTTCGTGAAAATCGGCCCAAAATTGACAGACAAAATGGCCGCCATTCATTTTCAAATAGCGTAAAAATATGGTATATCAAGGTTGTGGACCCTATAGAGGTCGCAATTTTTATCCGATTTTGTTGAAATTTGAAATGTAAGTTTATAACACAAAGATCTCAGTTCCTATCGATATTCGCGCTTATCGAATTGTAATTTCCTGAATTATGGCCCTTGATTGTAGGAAAAATCACTTTCTTGTTAGCTTGTTCTCTATCCATCTCTCGAAAATGTGGGCGTATCCTGCCTGGCAGCCGCTGGTTTTTATATCTGATTCTTATTGTACCAATTAAATGATTTTTAGTGTACATAGACTTTATATATGGACGAAGATTACATATTTACAAACAATTCTCAGTTCCCAACTGTCGTTGTCTGCTAAATAATAGCACTCGTGCGATAAAGTCGAACTTTTGACATCTTCTAAAAGAACTAACACTATTCCAATAGAAATACTTGTTGACATTTCTAAATATACAATGTATAGCGTGTATAACTGTACCCCTTTTAAAATATAATCATAATCGCTAGAAAATTCATCCAAATGGAATCTTTCTTTCAGCATTATTTATTTTCACATGGCCATCTCTCGTAATTTCTTGTGTCTCGCGAGAGTTCTACTTTAGTTTTCAGTTAAATTAGCCAATCATTCATAGGCTATATTATTCTATTTTTAGTAACATTCATCGTAATATTTTAACCATGTGCGATGACAAACACTTGGTGTATTGTCTAGTATTTATCGTATGTATACATTTATATTGAAATAAAAACTGGTTCAAAACTTGGAATACTACTCAAGTTAGTCCTACATTTATAAACTGATTATTTTACATTAATTGTCCCCCGCCTTTCGAAGAAAGCAGGGGACTATTAAAATGGGTTCGTCCGTCTGTCTGTCTGTCTGTCTGTCCGTCTGTCTGTCCGTCACACTTTTTGGGACACAATAACTCCCTTCCTAATTGAGCTAGAATGTTCAAACTTGGTGTATGTGTTTATTAGGTCAATGCCTTGATGGAGTTCGAAGATGAGCATTTTCCGCTTAGGGTAAGCAGAGATAAGCAATTTGATTGGTTGATGCTTTGGGACACGATAACTCTCTTCCTAATTGGGCTAGAATGTTCAAACTTGGTGTATGTGTTGATTAGGTCAATGCCTTGATGGAGTTCGAAGATGAGCATTTTCCACTTAGGGTAAGCAGAGATAAGCAATTTGATTGGTTGATGCTTTGGGACACGATAACTTTTAATTGAGCTAGAATGTTCAAACTTGGTGTATGTGTTTATTAGGTCAATGCCTTGATGGAGTTCGAAGATGAGCATTTTCCGCTTAGGGTAAGCAGAGATAAGCAATTTGATTGATTGATACTTTGGGGCACGATAACTCTCTTCCTAATTGAGCTAGAATGTTCAAACTTGATGTATGTGTTGATTAGGTCAATGCCTTGATGGAGTTCGAAGATGAGCATTTTCCGCTTAGGGTAAGCAGAGATAAGCAATTTGATTGGTTGATGCTTTGGGACACGATAACTTTAGTTCTAATTAAGTGAGATTGATGAAACTTGGTGTATAGTTTCATTACAGTAATACCTTGACTAAGTTTGATAATGAGCATTTTCTGCTCAGGGTAAGCAGAGCGATACGCAATTTGATTGGTCGAGACTTTGGAAAACAATAACTCTCCTACTTTGATTGTCCCCCGCCTTTCGAAGAAAGCAGGGAACTATTAAAATGGGTTCGTCCGTCTGTCTGTTTGTCTGTCTGTCCGTTCCGCTTATGGTAAGCAGAGATAAACAATTTGATTGGTTGATCTTCGAATTGAGTAAATGTTCATGCTTATTGTCCCCCGCCTTTCGAAGAAAGCAGGGAACTATTAAAATGGGTTCGTCCGTCTGTCTGTTTGTCTGTCCGTTCCGCTTAGGGTAAGCAGAGATAAACAATTTGATTGGAAGCTCGTTTATATAGTTTATGCTTTAGTTCTTGAAGAAGCTTTCCAATGTATTACCCCTGTAATTCCTCCTCTTTTATCTGTACAATATTTTCGAAAAAAATGAAACGAAATCCACTTATGTATACATTTAGGTTACATTATAGCCTACATGTCCCGACTCAACTTGCCACATTACATGTCATAATATTATAACCAGGTATTGATAAAAGCATCAATTGAGCAATTCCAATACAATCCAATACAATGAATATAGGCAAGGTAAATAAACAAATAAATGGAAAAAACAAATTGAAAAAGAAACTATTATAAATTAATTAAATATGTAGTATGCAATAATGAATTGACATTTAATGACAGAAAGAAAACAGTGAACTTTGCACAACTTGCAGCAAGATGGAAAATAGACCCGTTGATACAACCAAACTCTAGATCTGTAGGCATAGAGCATGTTTTCCCCTTAATATGCTATAATTATTCCATCAAAAACATTGTATGCTTAGACTATAAGTAAAGATATACTGTTTGATTGTTCAATACTTTGTAAAAGATAATTTGTGATAAATTTATATGTGTCCTCTAATTATTTTCCTATTTCGGCGGGGGACATCAGCCTCACTGTTGGCTTGTTAATATTATGGTTTCATTTTATTGACGTACATGTACATCGGCATATATTAGACTAGAAAAAAAACCCTCCAGTATCCCGATAAAAGATTGCTACAGTCGAGTTGAAAAGCATTCCTCTTATATAGCACTTCGACTTATATATGATGGAGATTGGAAAGACAGTAAAATATGACGATACTCCGTAAAATACAGTATTAATGTGTATTGTAAGTGAGACTTTTGAACTCTCTTTCCTACTAATTTTTTTCTTTTATCTATAGGAGAAGAAAACTGGAAGAAGTTGCAAAACATGAAAAATTGCCACCTCACCAAAACTGTGTTCATTTCTATAAAGCTTGGGAAGAAAGACAACATCTTTATATTCAGATAGAACTATGTAAAAACAGGTGGGAACATGTATAAAAACTATGTGATATTGTAATAGTATAGACTCCTGATCTAAATCATCTTACTACAGATTTCACAAGGGTAGGATGCCAATTAAGTGTCAGTGTGTTAAATGAGCAAATGACATTGTCATAAAGAGAGTCTTTCTTTATTAACACATGTTCTATGCTGGGTCCTGGAGCCAATATAACTTCCAGTGATGTTCACTATCCATACAAAAACTTAATTTACATTTTTGTACTTCTTTTTAAAAAAAAGCCTAAATATTCACAGAATTAAAGAGACATCTGGGAAGCCTCCTGTTCCTTCACTGTGCTTTATTAGTAGTTATCATTATTGTCTTAACATTCTGAAATATTTTCAGTTTGAGCCAAGTAGCTGATGGATATCATGACTTGAGTGAATTAACTTTATGGAACTATTTGGTGGACCTTCTTATGGTACTTTGTTTTAAAATATTATTTCAAACAATTGCCTTTGATAATTTACACCATTGCAGTTCTTGACTAATTTAATTATCATAAATGTACATTCTTGGCCAAATAAGTTGATGATTCTTATAAAATATATCTTGGTAAAAATAATTTTAGATTTGACCATATATACAATTAATGTTGTGTACGTTCAAATGAAGAATGTTAGACAGATCTGCCAGGCCATCACTTAGATACAAGGGCTTTAACACTGTCAGTTTACAAGTCATACAATTTTTAGGGTGGTTTTCAAGGGATTTCAAGAAACGCTCATAAAAAAAAAATACCATAGAGTTGCAGAATAACACTGCACTCTGCATTTTTGGTTCAAAGTGCTGAGTTTGCACTGTAGGTGCTTAATCCAGTAACCAACTCTATATTTTATGAGGGGGTCAAGGTGGCTAAGTGGGTAAGACGCTGGCTTGCTAGTCTGGAGGTCGGGTGTTAGATCCCTGCATTGGCCTAGAAAGTTCATCCAGATTTTCCGGCATGGTTCCCCCTTGTCAGTGATGCAGGACGGAGGGCCTGACAAGGACTATGAGGGGGTCACGGTGGCTAAGTGGGTAAGACGCTGGCTTGCTAGCCTGGAGGTCGGGTGGCCGAGAAAGTTCATCCAGATTTTCCGGTGTGGTTCCCCCTTGTCAGTGATGCAGGACGGAGGGCCTGGCAAGGACAGCTGTCTAGTCGTTCGGATGGAATGAAAAATCGAGGTCCTGTGTACACATTGGCGTTCACGTAAAAAATCCCTTGACAGTTGGAATTCGATATAAGAGTAGGCAATAGTGCCGCTGTCCGGACAAAATTTCCCTCATAGCACGCTGTATGGCATATGCCCATCTTCATTAGCCCATTTCATTTCTATTTTATGATGATTACCTATGTCTCACATGCATGATGTGAATAATACTTTTTTTGTAGGCTGTGAAACATCTTCATGATAATGATCTTATTCACATGGATATTAAACCTGAAAATATCTTTGTCTCTTTTGATGGAATATGTAAATTAGGTGATTTTGGTCTTGTATTGGATGTTTCAAAGGTAAGTCATTGAACTATAAAGTATAAATTAGAAGATTCAATAAATGAATAATAGTAGCTGATATTTTAGTTTCATATCCCATTATATTGTGGACTGTGTATTCAAAATCCAAAGACACTTTAGGAGTTAATGAGATGTGATATGTAACTGTATCATCATTTGAAATTTTATTACTGTTGACACCAATTCTGACATCATGGTTAGGTAGCAAGTTTTGAAGGGTTGACATATTCTTTAATGAATATCATTAGTATTTTTAAACTGATGACACCATTCTGCAATCTGCTCCCAGAGGACTATCTACTTTGACAATAGATCTCTGCCCAGAATGGCATCCATTAAAGATCCTTACGTAATCATTCAAACACATGGCTTATCAATGGGTATTACTTTCTACACCAGTAGCCTGAATAACACGTCTCTTTTAAATAAATGTATCTGATGAGACATTTGTGTAAGGAAAACGTTTACTACTGTGATAAAACTGACAGATGGAGATGAAATAATCTATATTGAAAAATTACTATGCTATTTTGTTAGGCGGTTCTAATCTGAATTGCATCTTTCATTTACACAAAAACTGAATAAACTTTCTCAATTTCATTAAATATGAAAATTGAAGCAAAATAGATGCTTTTCAAAATTTTCGAAATATAATTAAATATCAACTCAAAATTGTTGAAGTTAGGAATTAGAATGCCGATCAACCAACTACCTACTTTTTCTCAAGCAAAACTAGCTGTAGACAGTAAAAAATCTGTGAGTAGGCGAACAGCCCTTCCAGATTTCTCTCAGCTACTGGTTTCGTTCTTATTTGAACTCTTCAGGCTTAAATGAGGATGTGCGGTGGCCCTCTATATATAGTCTCGGTGGGCACCGGAGCACATGTGACTTCACAGATGGACCGGAGTCAATCTTTGGCACCGGAGTCGATTATTCCGAAAAGTGTGCAAAGATATTCGGCTAAGAAATTTGCCGTCATGATTATGCTAATTAGCATTGACTCAAGGCTCCTAACCCTTTTGAACTTTAAGTTTAAAGTTTTCTAAACTAGAGAGGGATTAAAAATAACTCTATTAGGTTAAGGGCGTGTATGCACTAATTTTTTATTAGTTATCGCTGTGGGGGTACCACGGCTAAATTAAATGGGAACTCGTCCCTGTTTTTCATATTCTGCCTTGAGTTAGGCTGAGAATTATGCTACTATTTCGCATACTTTGAAAAGTGGCTCTAGGAAAGTCTTTCTTGAATACAACAAGGAGCTCACGAAGTTGTTTTTGCGTTTCTCTGTTGAAACGTTGTAAAAAAAAAACCAGTCTTCTTTGCTGATGTTTGATTCTGCCAAATCATCGCGATTCAATGTGCGAAAAACTGGCCAGGCCTCTAGTTCGAGACAAGGATTGACTCATTCACAAAAGGCCTCTCAGTTACTCATGGTTGGGAATGGTATAGGACAAGGCAATCTGTCATATTTTACCTCCGTTGTAGCATCCCTGGTTTTGATGCTATTACTTGAACAACTTTCCTCACATTGAGGGGAAAGATGACCGATGCTTTGTTTCACAGCGGTGTCCAAGATATCGACTTGGTGTTTAGTTTTCTGGTGACGGGTAAAATCGTCCAACCTTTTGTAATTTCGGTTGCACGATTTACACCAGAACTTAAGCTGGGTATGAAAGCTTCGGTAGTGTCGCTTCAAGTTGTATGAGCGCGTGAAAATTGCCCTGCAAATTCCACAGATGTGCTTCATTTTCGAAAGTAGGAATAGTAGTGAACGTCCCTATTGTGAAGTCACGGGATATCTCTAAAGCCTAATGCTGGCAGTGTGCCAGGTATTTTGAGCGGAGTCGATAATACGAGTTCCAAAAGTAAAGGTGCACACGAGAGAAATAGCTAACGGAATTTAAAGATTGTAGTGCAAAGGGGTCAGTGGGGAAAAAGAGTAAACAATAAAGTGGAGGTTTTATATCACCATTCTGTTGTATGTAGGCTTCTCATTATGATGAATATTACAATAAGAGTTAAATTATTCATGAGCTGAATCTGCCTAATGCAGATCTTTCATTCGGCCTCAAATGTTTTTATTTTGGACAGATTTCAATTTGATTGGCAGTTAATGATTAAATTTAAATATGGATAATAATTAAGACTTATTCATTATCGTAACAATGGCAATCGAGACTACACTGCAAATGATAACTCTGCTAAGAATGAAGTAATTTGACTGAAATTTTCAACAAGTTCCCTTTTCATTATCTATTTTTTAACTATTATAGCGAGAACTCTCAGCTCGTTATCTATATCTTAGGCCATGTTGAATTGATTCCTTGTTTCTCCTGCCACCACTCTGGCAATCATGTGCGGTAAACGGAACACAAAGTGGCCAGCATAATATCTATAGTTTAAGGGTTGTGTACCTTTTTTTAATAATCTACTTCTTGGTCAGAATAAAAACATTTTGCAGACTTATCCAATCAAATACAGTGTTACTTATTCCAGGGTATATGGGCCCCTACATGTGTATTATCAACATCTTTAGTTGTAACCAAGAGTGAACAATGAGAAATAACTTCTGATGTTTGGTAGAATTTTATTTACATGTAGATGTTATTACCGTAATTTTTTTAATATTTTCTTTTTGTGTGTGTTACAAAGGTAAGCGCATGATTTTCGGAGAAACAAGGAATCATTTCAGCACGGCCTTACATAATGCATCATTAAATAAACTTTATTTATATTTAGCAGGTTGATCTGTCGGAAGCACAAGAAGGAGATCCAAAATATCTTGCACCTGAATTAATGCAAGGAAAGTTTGGTAAACCAGCTGATGTATTCAGGTATTATTTTAAGATTACTTGATATTGATGATGTATTAATTATTTACTGCTTTGTATGACTAGATGATTAATACCTTATCTAGGGTGACCCACCATAAATAAATATCTCCATATATCTCGACAATTACGCCACAATATTTATATATATGCCAAGCCTCAAATCAGTTTCACACAATTATAGTCACTAAATAAACGATCATGTTGTACTTAATAAGCTATGACCATTAATCACGTATAAATAATAGACTGAAAACTGGTTCCAAGAGTCGTCCATAACATCCAGACACTTTTGAGTAAAAGATAGGTTACGTGCCCTTGTTTTGAAATTAGTCTCGCTTAACCAGTATATCGACCATTCTACGTCTGATTGACAGGTCGGGATAATCAAGACTACTTTCTTACGAAACATAACAGTAGCATTACCACATTCGTCCTCAGCGCTGTGTGACACTCAGTTAGCGTATTGACCGTGTCCTACACTCCTCGCGCACAGAGTGCCAAGAAAAAATATCCGATAAAAAACTCACAATTTGTGTCAACATATTTTAACCTATATGAATAAAAAGCCAATTAAATTACCTTTCTAGTGATACAAGTTTCGTTTTTGTTCTTTATTGATAATGCACTCAAAACACAAGTTATAAAATACCCACGCTAATATTACGTCACTGGCAGTTAGCCATTGTTTTTCCATTAGCAAATTAATTAGTGTTCACGGCACGCCCGGGTTTTTGAGCGGTATCTCGCTGGGGATTCTCATAGCTCGGAAAGTTCTTCACGTACGTCATTGAAACTTTCAACGAATCATCAGGAAGAACCCCGCAAGGTTCCGCGGCATTCCCGATCAAAATGGCGGGTATAGTTTTTGAGATACAAATGTTTTAAAAGATTGAAGTCAAATTTTTCTAAAACTCAATGTTGCGGCTGGAATTTTAAAACGGTGAGAACCTTTATGAAATATCGTAGATTATAATGATATATGTGTCGTCGGTAATAAAAACTGTTTTCATTGAGGAATAAGCCGCAGAAGTTTGGTTGCCAAGCCGAGTTCTTACGGCGAAAACTTCACGGGCGATTCCATTCATAGCAAAATGGTATTACCCTATGACGAACATTGTTGACATCACGTGATTGTCTTTGTTGAGTCTGATTGGACAAACTCGCATGTCATTTCAGCTGTAGGGGGTGGAAGGCGGGTAATCCTTCCATGGATGCTATCACGCACGATATAAACAAAGCACTTGTTATTTTGACATTTATGTATGGATTTGACTTGACAGTTGTCTTGGAACCGAATGACAAACATGTATGTCCCATAAATTAGTTAATTTTAGATATTAATCGAATTACTAAAACTGTAATAGTATAATTATTTACCAAACATTTCATCAATAATCAGGTAGTCTAGAGATATAGGCCTATCAAATAATATTATCATTTTGATTATGAAACTCAATAAAATGGATCAATTTTAGATATTAATATAATTAGTAAATTATGTAAAACTACAATTATTTACCAATCATTTTATCAGTAATCATGTAGGCTAATTAATATTATCATTTTGATTAAAATGTAACACAATAAAAATGGTTTAATTTTAGATATTAATATAATTAGTAAAATTATGGAAAATTATAATTATTTACCAAAATTTTTTCAATAATCTAGTAGGCCTATTAAAATTATTATTTTTATTAAAATGTAACTCAATTAAAATTAGTTAATTTTACATGTTAGATTGTCAGTAAAGGTTACTGGGCCTATATAAGCTAGACTACTTGATTATTGATGAAATGTTTGTAAATAATTATAGAATAATCTTTCATTTCATTTTCCAATTATAATATGTGAGGGAATTTAGCATTACTATATCATATAAAACTTTTGAAACCTATTTTCATGTATTTGTGAAAGATGCAAGCAGTTTCATGAAGGCGCATCAACTTTCGACATTCCACGTCTCATCTTTGAAATATTGAACAAAATAAACAATGTCTAAAAACAACTTCTTTATTTAATATGTTCTCTGGTGGGTATTGGACATTTGGAAACTGTAATCCCCTCTTCAATACCTTTCCAATGATATATTACAACCCATACTTTGAGCACCGAATAAATGACACCCGATTGTGACGGAATCTGGCATGTCGGCCATCTTGGATTCCAAGATGGCCGCCATTTTTCTTTGAAGTCATGAAGTAGATCAAACTTACTTTATGGAGTGCAGAATGAAGCATTTTTAACAGCCGTGTAGTGTCATTTGATGCTGACCTCATAATTGCAGTACATTTTAATGGCGGTTTTAACCGCAATCCAAGATGGCCACCATCTCACGGAACGCGTATGTTGCAGAGGCATTTTGACGACAGAATTGAATTTGTCGTCCATTTTTCATCTGGGTGTCAAAATTTCAACTTATTGCTTTTCATATTACCAGAGTTATTGTAGGATCTTTAAAAGACTATTTTAGCCTCAAAAAGCCCTATTTCGAGGGCGTGTTTTGCCTATAGATAAGTCTATTACTTTTTGTCAGAAAAATGTTGCCATCTGCGATGAGAAAAATGTTCATAGAAAACTTATTTATTAACCGATTTTGAGAATTTAAAAAGTTTCTTCATGTTTGAAACAGGCTGCATGCATTAAAACAGAGAAAAACACATCATCTGTTATTTGAAATTTTGATGTGGTAATGCTAATAACAGAAAGCTAGAACAAGAAATTGAATTTAGAAATAAGCAAGTTAGGTAGCTCAACAATCGTTTTAAGAAGCTTGTAAAAGTAAAATGAAACTACTGCTAGTATCATGTTCCTGTCTAACCCGAGTGATTCAGAGATATTATTTGTACTAAACCAAAAGATGCCGCTCTTAACGGTACAGTTAATGATAAAGCGATTTAAAAAATGAAACGAACGTAATTTCTAAATCTGCTGTAATAATCAAGAAGCTTAATTTTACTGCTTTTCAAAATCGTCAACAATAAATTTTTTACGGCTGTAATAGTTGATAGATTTGTAGAGAATTGCACGTGCCATGGCTATTTATAGTATCATACTGTCAGAAAGTTGGTCTCGGCACGGCGAATGTGCACGCTTCAGTGGTAGTCTCGAACTATCAGTGGTGGACTGTATTTCTGTGAGTACATGGGTCACCCTACCTTATCAACTGAACTGGACAAAGTGTATGGTGCTTTAAATGATTTATAGTCTTTGGTTGCCATTTGTAGGCACTTTGATAAATTTCTAAAGTTATCAGTTTGGCCTCAATTTTAATTTCATTTTGAAGAGCTTGTCACACAGATTACAAAACAGTTTAGTTTTTAAAATCGAAGCAGGGGTTAATGTTCTATAGTTATTTTTATTTTTGGGGCGGCACAGACTCCGCAAACTGACCAAGCCCGAACTATGGCATGTAGCATATTAAAATTTAGGGAATTGCACACAGATTCCAAATCTGCAAAGAAAGAAGGGATTATATAACATTCAAGAGACTGCTGACCTGTTAAAGTGTAGATTGATCTTGATCATTTTCTGTATCCTGATGATAAGAAGGGCAATACATACTTCATACTTCATCCAATTCCAAAACAATAATTTCAGTCAGTTTACATCGATGCTGAATGATAGTTCTACAAGAATGATATCCTAAACCTAAACTCCCCCCCCCCCCCACCGCAGATCAGGCCAACTCAAAATCCCCATTCACGATGTCGAACACTGTCTCAGTTAATTTCAGCTTTACATCCTCATTGTCCTCACTCTCATTCCCATCCAGCTCCCAATAACTGATAGTGTAGATATTGTAGGAAACAAGTCCACTATCTTGGCTGTACCACTCACTACTTTTTCCAAGTCTTTTTCAAGTCCTTTTCTCTGTCTTTGCACTGCCTTCCTCTCTATGTCTGCCAGGTGCTGCCTCTTTCTCTTTTCAATCACGACAGCCCTTTCCTTCCTAATTTTGCGCAATTTAGCAGCATGACCTAAGGCAAATTTGACATGGTGTTGCTGCACATCTGATGGTTTTGTTTCAAGCCAAGAAAGGGTGTTATTCTTTCGACATCGCACCTTGACATCCATGAAACCCATGCTAGCATTTGGGGCTCTCCGGAACTGGTGGTCAGTTAATCCCAGAGTTTGTTCAGCAAATATGTTGTGTGGGGGGGGGGGGGGCAGAGACAGTTTGCTCAAGCATGACGGAAGTTGGCCTAGAGAGTTTACCATCGAGGTAAGATTTCAGCTGTTTCTCCAAAACCTTCACAGAACTGGACCCCAAAGCTGCTAATGTCTCTGCAAGTTCCACTTCTGACTGGAGTGCATCTTGTTGGAAATGAAATGAAATGGGGTTTAACGTCCTACTGTTCTGCTCCTAACCTGGGCTAATGAAGACGGGCATACGCCATACAGTGTGCTATGAGGGAAATTTTGCCCGGACAGCGGCACTACGGCCTACTCTTATATCGAATTCCAACTGCCAAGGGATCTTTTACGTGCACGCCAATGTGTACACGGGACCTCGGTTTTTCGTCCCATCCGAACGACTAGACAGCTTTCCTTGTCAGCCCCTCCGTCCTGCATCACCATCTTGTTGGAGATTAAGACGTATTTCATCATCATCAAGTAATGGCTGATTGAATGCATCTGTGGTTGTGGTAAGAATGGACAGGGGGTTTGTTTCCAGGTGTTTTAAGTTTGCAACAGCTGTTCCCATCTCAAGATTGGTCTTGTTCTCACTGGTTTGATAGAAAAGGCGCATCCAGGGTGCTGTAAGGTACTTGCCCAACAAACCCAACGACCTCAACTGCACCACTAAATGTACATTCTCCAAGTCAGATTTCAGGGCTTTCTTCAACTTCCTAGCAGTGCCCGAGTCCTTCCCCAGGAAAACAATCAACTGCTCTGTGTAGAAGTATACAACACCAGCCAGATGGAACAAGACGTGGAGACGATTTCCCACATACCTCACAAACTGACCAGACCTGATGTTATGTGATTTTTATACGCCCACATTTTCATGTGGACGTATATTGTCGTCGCCCCTGTCCGTCCGTCCACAATTGTTTGTGAACAGTCTACAGGTCACAATTTTTATCCTTTTTCAATGACACTTGAAATATAGGTTTATCACCCTAAGATCTCGGTTCCTTCCGATATTGGCATGTATTGGACTGTAACTTCATGGATTATGGCCCCTGATTGTACGAAAAATCACGTTTTTAGCTTGTGAACACTGTAGAGGTCACAATTTTTATCCGATTTAGTTTAAACTTGAAATGTATGATTATAACCCAAAGATCTCGGTTCCTTTCGATATTCGCGCATATCGGAACGTAACTTCCTGAATTATGGCCCCTGATTGTACGAAAAATCGCATTTTTAGCTTGTGGACCCTATAGAGGTCACAATTTTTATTCGATTTTGTTGAAACTTGAAATGTAAGTTTATAACCCAAAGTTCGTGGTTCCTTTCGATATTCGCGCATATCAGACCATAACTTCCTGAATTATGGCCCCTGATTGTACGAAAAATCGCGTTTGTAGCTTGTGGACCCTATAGAGATCATAATTCTTATCCGATTTAAAAAAACATATTATTATATCACCATTACACCCTAAGGACGGCTGAGTTAGAATTTCATGAAAATCAGCCCAAAACTGATAGACAAAATGGCCGCCCTTCGTTCTCAAATAGCGTAAAAATATGGTATATCAATTTTGTTGAAACTTGAATTGTAAGTTTATAACCCAGAGATCTTGGTTCCTTTCAATGTTTGCGCATATCGAATTGTAACTTCCTGAATTATGGTCCCTGATTGTACGAAAAATCACTTTCTTTTTAGCTTGTTCTCTATCCATCTCTCGAAAATGTGGGCGTATCCTGCCTGGCAGCCGCTGGTATGAAAAGTTTGAAGGCACCAGGGTCTCTTTCCTTGTTTGTATCACATCTTACTCACACCATATATTAGATTTGCAGCCTTGCATGCCTGCCCAAAAGTGGAGCTCACAATTTTTAACTTTACATCAGTCTTTCAAAACTGACCGAGCCCTACCAGCTATCCCGTCAAGTGGGTGGAGGTTGCAGTTGAGCTCAAGAATGGCAATATCAAAGACTTTAATTAGCTGTTCTACAACGCAGTGATTAACAGCTACCCGGTCTGTTATCGTATTCTTTAAATGACTTATCACAAGCTCTTTGAGTTCCATGTGATCCTTCTGAAAACACTTAGCATAAGATAATGTCACATCATTAATGCTTTCCTTGATATGTTCAACGTAGTCACCAGTAGCTCCCCCACCTAGGACAACAATTTGGAGAATCAAACCACAAGGTGGTGTTGAGGGCAGGTCAGGTTGACATGCACTTCGTTTACAGTGGTCACCATCCAAACTTGTGGCATCCATACTCAAAGTCAAGTTGTCATTGCTTGTCATCTCTTCAGCAACTTGGATGTCAGACAAAACCCCCATCTCATAAGCCATCTGGCTGAAGGTGGATGGTTCAGGAACCATGTCAAGGGTTGCACCTGTAAGACGACACCTTTCAAGACAGTCCCAATAGTCTCAACGGGAACTTGGCTTTCTAAACATGTGTATGCTGCCTTTCTAAACCCAACACTTAGCAAAACTCACATTACTTGCACAATTGCCACACACTTCGTCCAACTCACACCTCAGCCCATCTATCTCTAAACCAAGAACGGCCTAGTTAAGATTCTCTATTTCATTTTCTAATTTATACTTCTCAAAATTTATTTTAGATCTTGATCGTTTCAAATTGGCTGATTCTATCCTGTCTTAACCTAGTTTCTACGTCTACCTTGCGTGAAATTGCTTGTTTTAATTTTCGATTTTCATGAGACAAATCTTCCTTATGAACATCGGAAAGGTTCCTAAGAAATTTAACTTGTGAGCGGAGAGCTTTGTTTCGTTTGACCAAACCATCCAATTTACTAGTATTGAGAAGGCAGTTATGTTGTGCACAGTTCCCTGACTCTGACCGGATAATAGTCTTTTCCACTGTCACTGCAAACATGGCCTGTGTTTCCTCCCCAACAGATAACTCCATTTTAGTGACTTCTTCCTCCATCTACTCCCATAGCCTCAGGTTTATGCATTGGAACAACAATTTCCGTTTCAAGAAAGGCCACAATACTGACCCAGTCACGATCAGGTTTGGTACTTTTTGATTTTAAATCTCTCACACACCTCTGTACCACAGCTGACAGGGCTGAAACATTGATATTATTTACCCCATTCTTTTGATACAGTTCGTTCAATTTAAGAGCTGAAGCCTTAAATCCTTTTTTTGATTCAGTCTTATCATAGATAGAATGAACGAATCCTTTCCGGAAGTCAGGACCATTTCGAAATAGAAAGGTATTTTCATCGATAGTGTTTCCATAACTTGCGACAAGTGACCTTACATCTTCCTTCGTTTTCTTCATCTGAAAAAGGTAAGAGAGAAAACAATCAGCCATGAATAACATCAAAAGTCTGTTAATATTACCTGAACAGTGCTAAAACAGCTATCATTAACAGTGGAAAATGTTTAAATTTGAGGATCACCATAAAAAAAACTGATAACTGCAACCAAAAACATGTGAAACACCCATAAAAGTTAAAAGAGAGATATCTATCATAAACAAACAGACCATGAGCATTTGTTTACAAAATAAATTGATTCGACCAATCAGAACAGCGCATTCCGGTCATGTGACCGCTCGGTGTTCCAGAATCTGAATCGGTACCGTGAATAAATCGCTCCAATCCTTCAAGCAAATACATTAATTTCATCATCAAACATAAAATATAGTATCTAGACATATTAATTCAATGTATTTTTGGGTTATTTTACATTAGGAGAAAATTTGACTTCTGTAGATGATTTGACGTCCCCAACATTTTGCCGATTCGGGGCCATTTCACGCGGTGTATCCATTACAGCAATTCATAGGAAAGCATGAGCGCGATGAGATCCTGCGTTCAAACTTTGTCCCAGTGGAGATTAAAAGCCTAACAATACATTTAGAGGGGTTTTAAATGAGTTTGGGGGGTGTGGGGTCGATAATAATGGGGTTGAAACTTACCTTTTTTCACAAAAATTCTAATTTTTTGATAAAAATCGGAAAATATCCGGACAAAGTTCTCAGCATTCAGAAACAAACAGACGACAAAATGGCGACGATGTGCATCGGTTTATTATGCGCAGCACTATTTGGCAGATAGTGTTTCCATAACTTGCGACAAGTGACCTTACATCTTCCTTCGTTTTCTTCATCTGAAAAAGGTAAGAGAGAAAACAATCAGCCATGAATAACATCAAAAGTCTGTTAATATTACCTGAACAGTGCTAAAACAGCTATCATTAACAGTGGAAAATGTTTAAATTTGAGGATCACCATAAAAAAACTGATAACTGCAACCAAAAACATGTGAAACACCCATAAAAGTTAAAAGAGAGATATCTATCATAAACAAACAGACCATGAGCATTTGTTTACAAAATAAATTGATTCGACCAATCAGAACAGCGCATTCCGGTCATGTGACCGCTCGGTGTTCCAGAATCTGAATCGGTACCGTGAATAAATCGCTCCAATCCTTCAAGCAAATACATTAATTTCATCATCAAACATAAAATATAGTATCTAGACATATTAATTCAATGTATTTTTGGGTTATTTTACATTAGGAGAAAATTTGACTTCTGTAGATGATTTGACGTCCCCAACATTTTGCCGATTCGGGGCCATTTCACGCGGTGTATCCATTACAGCAATTCATAGGAAAGCATGAGCGCGATGAGATCCTGCGTTCAAACTTTGTCCCAGTGGAGATTAAAAGCCTAACAATACATTTAGAGGGGTTTTAAATGAGTTTGGGGGGTGTGGGGTCGATAATAATGGGGTTGAAACTTACCTTTTTTCACAAAAATTCTAATTTTTTGATAAAAATCGGAAAATATCCGGACAAAGTTCTCAGCATTCAGAAACAAACAGACGACAAAATGGCGACGATGTGCATCCGTTTATGATGCGCAGCACTATTTGGCAGTTCTTACAGAAGGCGTGACGCGCTCCTGGTCAACACTGACGTAACGTTACGTCGCGCGTATCGAAGTGGCTACCATTTGCAGGATTTTGAATCTCCCGCAAACTCGATAGGCTAAGCAGAATTAACTAAATTAATACATAAATATCGATTCAATTTAAAACTTTAATTAACCTGAATGAAAGAGGGTTAGTTCCATTAAATCATTTTGCTTTAATACTTTAATCAAATACTGTACATGCATATTCTTATATTGCAGTTTAGGTATGACAATGTTAGAATTAGCTAGTGATTTAGATCTACCACGAGGAGGTGAAGGTTGGCATATATTACGTAGAGGTGAATTACCAGAGGAATTTCTCAGGGGTTAGTTTTATGCTTTCACTTATATATACAAGTATTTAATGTCACTGTATTTTATCATTCCTGTTTATGCACGTCGGCAATAGTTTGGACTTTGGTATTATGTCCAGAAGAAAACTGTTCGATTTATATGTTGTACATCTGCCATGTGCTGTAAGCTAAATTTTGAAGGATATTAACCCTATGATACTTGGTACATATACATATTGAATACCATGTTTCCCAAGAGAAATATCATAAGGTATCACGTAGGAGGAAAATGTCTTTAAAATATATCAATTTTATGAGTTTTAATATTTTGTAATTTAATTATGTCTATTTATATTATTACCAAAAATTACATTGACAAAATAAAATATTATATATATTATAACACCCTGAAACTTCTGCTTCCTAGACCATGTCGAACTGCCTCTGAATAGCTCTCTGTATTGTAAGACTGTATTCACATGACTCTAGCATCTTGGGGCTCTCCAAGGAACACTAGTTGCAGGAGATCCATGTGATAAAAGTTTTGGTATTTTTGTTTGTTAAAATATAAAGTGAATGTGTTGTTACAGACAAAAGTTTTGATTTGAAGTATGTTATACGCCATATGTTAGATAGATGTCCTGGTAGTAGACCAACAGTTGATCAGTTACTACAGTTTCCTTCAGTTAGAAAAGTAAGTTTCTATTTATATGTACATGTATCGTTCTGGATTCATTTATAGATTAGAGATTGTATTTATACCATCACTTTTGTTTCTGCTTTAAGTGTAATTCTGGCAAGAAATTCAAAGTTTAATTCAGAAAATGTGGAAGCAAATGTTATTCAAGAATCAGTTCTCTTTGTATTAGGCTAATGTTTATAAATGTTATATGCCTACAACTCTTTGTCACCAAACTATTAATAAGTATTGATGTAGATGAATTTAAATGTATGAAGCCTTGAAGTCATGTGTTTTAATGCTGGTATTATTTGTTCAAAAAACGGTATGAATGCAAGAGCATCGATTTGGAATTATGATCGATTAACTGTAAAGTGAATATGTTGATCATGGTAGTAATTACAACTGATAAGCATGTTGTATCTTTATCATCAGCTGAGTTGAGCATCATCAAATATATTCAATTTGTATAATTGTAGGTATGGAAGAGAAGAATGAGAGAATACATGATCAATAGAGCTGTAAGATCAGTCAATGTTTGTACTTTAGAGGAGAGCCGAAAAAAGCTCCCCTTAATGAACCAATTGAAAAAATCGCTCCCCTTAAAAACCTCTCCGTTTCGATAAGAGTGATTTAGAAATTAAGGAGGGTGATCTGATATTAAGGAGAGTGATTAGTTGTATGTATGGGAAATTGTTCTGAAGATCAATAACTCATGTGGTCATTCCTGGTTACATAAATGATAATAAAAATCGTCTGCTAAATAATAGCACTCACAGTCGTACGGTCAAGTCAAACTTTTGCTATCGTCCAAAACTACTTAACCCCTATTCAAAATATAAATTTCATCAAAATATAATCCATTTCTTCTGGAATTTTGGAAAATTTCATGTGCCATCTTTCACGAGAGTTTTACTTTACACTGCAGTTAAATTAACCAAGGTGCCATCTATTTTTAGCAACATATTCATCGGAATTTTAGGGAGAGTGATGAAACTTTGTATACAGTTTTATTACATCAAAACCATGACTA